CCCACTGCCCAATTGAAATGTGCGGCGAGATCGATCGATCGTTACTAGACGCGCAGAGAGTTGTAACGATCGATCGATCTCGCCGCACATTTGAATTGGGCAGTGGGCCGGCCTAAGACAGCGATTTTTAATAATTAATAACTCGCTGACTTTTGCGAAAATTGCAAAATGGTAGAGGACTTTTCGACTTAGTCTAGTCCACTCTATCCCACAATAAGCGTTGATGCGGGTATTACATAACACCCTGTATAATCAAAATAATTAAAGTAAGAAATGGAAAATGAAAGAGATGAAAAAGAAAAGAATGCAAACAAGAAAACGAAGTTATAAATAATAATATTTTGACCAAATATACAACTAATGCACTAAAAAATTGTAAAGAATAAATGAAAGGAATAACAAAGAAAAAGAAAAGAAAATAATTGAAGGTGTTGGGACAGAATAATAACGAGTAAAAATGCATAATTTGTAAGATATGTTATATGTATGTATATTATATGTTATATAGTTTAATAATTATTCAATATAAATAATAAATTTTATTTATTGTATTTCCTCCTCGACCTCCTCGACCTCCTCGACCTCCTCGACCATCTTGACCACCTCGGCCGCGATATCCCATTTCAAGGCCCCGTTGAGCATACCAACGGGCCCGTCCGCGCCCGCGTCCTGTGCCTCGACGAGAGTCTAAAAGAAATAGAGAAATACAAATGACAAATACTAAATATAATATTGTATGTATAATTGTATGTATTATTAATAAAAATAACATATAATTTCCTTGTTGAGGCTGTCCTTCCTCTTGCGGCCGCTGTGTTTCTTGCGGCCGCTGTCCTAATTGCAGCCGTTGCTGTTGTTGCTGTCCGGTAAAAAAATTTTCATATAATTAAATAATTATAATTATATAATTATATATAAATACATATTTTTACATGAAACATTTTTTACCTGATGTTGTGACTGCTGCTGCAGCAGTTGCAATATTTGTTGTTGTTGTTGTTGTTGTTGTTGTTGCCTCAGTTGTTGCTTTTGTTGTTGCAACAACTGCTGCGTCGTAGGCTCTTCATCCTCCAACAACATTTTTTCCGTAGCCTCCGTTATTTCTTCTACAAAAGATAAACAATTAATTGTACCATATTTTATAAATATTATGCATAGCCTGTTATTCCAGACTTGTATAGGTATCAAGAGATGCGGTAGCGTTTCGCGCCAAATATTGTTACATCCATACATTTCCTGAAATATCGGTCGAGCTTTAGCCACGACGATCAATATTGATCGTTGAAAGGCGCGACATGAATTTACTCATGTCGCGCCTCGCTCAACGACTGATATTAATCCGCGCAACTATAACCGGCCGACATTTCAGGAGATGCACGCAAGCGCAATAATATATTTAATCATTAAATTCGTGAGCATTTCCTATGAAATATTTGTTTAAAAGTTGTGTAGTACTTACGCGATATTTCGTCGTTGCGCCAATCACAAGTATGAAGTTGTCACAAATCAAGAGACGCGGTAGCGTCTCGTTTGAAGTTGCGCGTGAGAAGCATTGCCAACCATAAGACGCGCTAGTTTCCCACGCGCGCTGCCGTACAATTTATTTACCAATAAAGAGTACCGCAGTTTTCATAAAATACAAATGCGTGTGTTTCCGCGCGCCAGAAGGACTCAGTTCGCGATCCCGAGAGAGCTCCCGGAAAAAAGCAAGACGTCGCGAATTAACTCGAGAACCAAGACTTATCTTTATTTCGAAATACAACGACTGTACACACTTTGCAATAAATGGATCGCTACCGACACAGACTCTCGCACGTGTGATCGATCGAGGAAAAAAGGCGCCCGATTTCGGGGCGCTATTTATCCCTCCGAGAGGGAAGATTCCAGAAGCCCGAACAAAGAAAAACCCCCCCTTCTTATCAGTGGCTTCGGGGATCGAACGGCTGATCGATCAGCTGTTTGTAAAGTTTACGACCGCCGATGACCGTGTTATTGTCGCACGGTGCTCACCTCGTCTCATGTATTGACGCGAGTCGGACGATCGGCACGCGTTAAGCCTCGTCTACAATAGTCGCACAGGTTGTGTCGCATGTCGTGAGTAATAATGTCGCATGAAAGTTTGTCGCATGTCGTAAGAGTGTCGCTGAACGAGTGTCTACAATAGTCGCAAAGGTTCGCGATAGCGTCAAATCGATCGCAGCCACAATGGATGCCCAGCGATTATTAATCTTTCTACAACTTTGCTCCCAATTTTTAAATTTACTGTCGTTATATTGCCGTTTGCTTCTTGAATCAAACAACAGAAGATGGTGGGTACGACCAGTAAATAGTGAAGAAAAACGGTGTTCCAAAGGGTTCCATTTAACCTATTTTCGTGAGCTGATGGAAACAGATCACGAACAATTTTTTGAGTGGACCAGAATGTGGCCATATCAATTCAAAAGTCTTTATAAACTCGTTCGTCCTCGATTGTTAAAAAGGAGTCGTCGTCGTTCATTACACCCAGAGCTAAGACTGGCTTTGACCCTGTCGTAAGTATAGGTCAAGCCCTTTATGCATATCTTACTTTTGTCTCAATACGTATTCTTTATGTGTTTTTCATTTTGATCAGGTACCTAGCGCATGGGGATAGCATGTTTTCAAAGAAAGCTGAATTTAGAGTTGGCAGATCAACGGCATACCGGATTGTGCCTGAAGTGTGCCGCATCATATGGGATATGCTGCAACCTAGTTATCTGGCACAACCAACGCAAGAAATATGGACATGTATTGCCGACGAATTCATGCAAAAGTGGCAATTCCCTAATTGCATTGGAGCAGTGGATGGGAAGCATATCCGTATTCAGTGTCCCCCAAATACTGGCACTCAATATTCAAATTATAAGAAATACTTTTCATTAGTCTTGATGGCTGTATGTGGAGTTTGGGCACATTCGGATATGTCTCACCTTCTTGATAATAATTTGCTTGATGTGCCCCCGAAGAAAGAATTGCCTGGCACTTTCATAGCAACGGAATATGCACTTGTAGGTGATGAAGCTTTCCCCCTTAAGAAATATCTGCTACGTCCATATCCTCGACACCAGTTAACCGATAAAGAAAGAGTGTTCAACTACCGATTGTCACGAGCACGACGCGTTATTGAAAATGCTTTTGGCATTCTTGTGTCAAGATGGCGAATTCTTACGAGACCTTTATGTTGTTCTCCAGAAAATGCTGAGCACTTAGTGAAGGCTTTGATCTGTCTTCACAATTTTGTTATAACAGGAGAAAGAGAAATTGCTCCAGCTCGCAGGAGGTACTGTCCATCACAGTTGGTAGACAGAGAAACAGAAGAAGGTATGCTTTTAGAAGGAGCATGGCGAGGAGAGGGAGAACAGGGTGATCTAGTGCAAAATATTGGCCGGTTATCT